CCCTCCGTACCCGGCCGTGTTGCTGCTGACGGCGGACCACGACGACCGCGTGGTTCCTCTGCACACCCTGAAGTTCTGCGCCGCCCTGCAGTACGGTGTCGGCAGCGCCGCGGCGCAGCGGCAGCCGCTGATGGTCCGAGTGGACACTCGCAGCGGACATGGCTCTGGGAAGCCCACCGCCAAGGCCATCCTGGAGGACACTCACATCTTCTCCTTCATTGCCGAGACCCTGGGCCTCAGCTGGAAGGAGTGAGGACCCGACGGGAGGAGATAAGGAGGCTTTTTAACGCATGAGTGGGTTCTTGTTTTTATGTCTCGGAGAGAAAACTTGTAGAAATAAGAATAGTTAGGAAAAAAAAGTCTGTCAAATGGTGTGATGTAAGGAATGAATTAAAAAGTGCTGCTTTTGTAAACAGCTCGATATCACCTTCACTAATCAAATGCACGTAAAGATTTTTTTTATTTTTATGTAATCTCTAATTTTGTAATTGAATCTGACTAAAGAATTTCAAAATAAAATGTGTCTTCAGTGTCATCTCTGCTGAATTCATGTTTGATCCATAAAATCTTGACTTGCAAAATAACTACAGCTGTGAAATATAGCAATACATAGAGTACAAGCAGAATAAAGTACAAATATGTGAATAATATGCAGGTAAAAGTACCTCAGAGGTGTATGTTTTACTGTAAATGAGTGAATGTACTTTCTAGTGTAGTTCCCCGGTCCACCACCGAGGGGCAGCATTGGCCCACAGAACAGCGACCAATCAGATTAACCGTCCGCTGACACCTGCTGGTCAAAGGTGAGGAATCGTTTAGAGGGATTGTGTGGTTCAAACTCAGCAAACAGTAAATCTGGTGAATCCTTTCTGTTGTTCATCTGTGTTTTAGATGGAGGATCAGATCAAACAATCAAATTAATGGAGGATGAAATGAAATCTGTGGGAGACGAGCGACTTCTAAATGAAAAACAAATAAGAAAGATGTGTTTAAGATTAGTTTTAATACTTATTAACATCAAGAAATGTGTTGTTTTTGCCATTTTAGGTGTAATCTGGTCATTTTTTGTCGAGTTATTACGTCTTCTAGAGGCCCTGAGACAGTTATAAAGTGAAGTTAAATAACTGTTTAGTATTAATCAACATTAATTGATATGTAGACAATTATTTTAGGTGTAATCTGAATAATACTATTGATTTTTACAAGTTGTCTGAACTTCTAGGAGGTCCTGAGACAGTTCTGAAGTGTAATTAGCATCAATTAATAACAATTATCAGCATTAATGTGCCATTTCAGATGTAATCTTCTCATTTATTCCAGTTATTACATCTTGTAGAGGCCCTGAGACATGAATTAAACATAAATTTACAACAATTGTTAACAATAATGTGTCATTTTAGGTGTAATTTACGTGATTCTGCTCATTTCTTTTCTAGTTTTTATATCTTGTAGAGGCCCTCAGGTATGACGTGGAGTTAGGATTATTTAACATTAAGGAGCGCTAATAAAGGTGTGATCTGGTTCATGCATCTGTTCGTCTCCAGTATTTTCGTGCAGTAAAGCAGCTGATGGACAGTCGAGGCCGTGAACTGGCGGGAAGGACGAGGCGGGAAGGA